GTTACCTGGACAAGAGAGGGAGGGTGGATGGTGAAATATTAGTGAGAAGGCATAAAAAATGGGAATAGTTACATTTTGTGACAATCCTGTTTGACTGTGTATTTAGCTGTTGTAAATCAGCTTAGGGCTTATATAATATTAAGTCAATTAGATCAACCAAACTATGGCATTTATTCAGTGGCAGTTTTCTGTGATCATCAGAGCTAAGGAAAAATGATTCCCTGTGGATTTGACTCTCAATTGCTTGCTGTTGGTGTCTAAGTGTGAGTTCCAGCTAGAACCTCACCCAGTACAAAAGATGCCTTCCTGTGTGGACCCCCAAGGGATGCAGCTTACCCAATGATATTCCTAAGAGAAGACTTAAAGAACAGCCAAAGCCCTCCTGTGTAAAACAATGTACTTACACCATTGGTCTCCCATCAGAGTTTGTAAGAAAGCATATGGTGTATAAGAGGATTGCAGTCCGGGCCAGGGTTTTTATAGAAGTCATTTTGTCTACAAAGATAGAAATGAATACGGGTGTAAATCTGTGTTTCGAGTAATTTCTCTTAAATCCAAAGAAAGACATCATTTTTGGAAAAAATAGCTTTTTTGTGAAATGGGTTAGGAATGCAAATGAAGAATTTAGTTCCAAGCCTAATTTTGTTAGCAACTTACCTCCTAAGCAACTCTAAAAATTTTGTTCAGCCTTAGATGCCCTCCATCATGATCACCATCAGTCATCATCATCATCATCCTCTAGGTGCCTATCTCTTGCATAACTGGGTGAAAAGCACCATGTTCTTCCAATATTATTACTACTACTACTATTATTACTACTTTATAGCCTTCAAGTAGTGTGGAATGCTTGTATATAACTATGCAAGTAAAAACTTCTGTTATTTTATCTATTTCTTTTGCATATTCTTTAGAATGAAGAGGCTGAAACTTGACAATTTTGCAGAGAGGCTAACTCTACTGGGTTCTATCATTCCCTGTTTAGTTGCATAAGAGAAATCAAAATTTAGCCCCTCATTTTTTTCAGGGATAATCCTGCATTACCAGTATGAATTCCCCTCTGATTTGCACATCATCAGCAAAACTGCCATTTGAAATATATTTGGAAAATATTTATTGCTGATGATGCTACAACAGGCAGAAATGACAGAGTTCCAGTATCAGTTTCCAGTTTGGATTTTCAGTATTGGCAGTCAGAAAAGGCATCTTTTTGTCACAGCTTAAGAAACTTGATACAGAATAACTGAAACTTAAGAAATATAAAACTCCACAGTACCATTTTTGCAATAGTTTCTGCAGCTTTACTCCAGGTCAGAAAAGCCTTTATAGCATGGTCTCTTACATGACATTATGACTGTGGTCCTGGCAGTCCATCTAACCCAATATTATAAATTCAGGACATGAATTCACTTCAAGTTATTTCTAACTCACTGCCTCAGATTTTTTTCATTTCACGGATTTGGTTCAGATAATATAACACTTTGATTTTACTAACACTCACCTTTTTTTAAGAGATTCGGAAAGAAATGAAGGTAAAATGAATAAAGAATCAATGATAAAATGTTCTAAATAAGTCTTCCAGAGAACTTGGAAAGAAAAAGTAGAGTGTACTTACCAGATAGAATGTTAAAGAGATTTCTGGTTTGGGTATGTCGGCAGATGACTGTCTCTTGATGTCAAGTATATTTAAAGACTACTGAATTGGTTTAGTGGACCCCTTAAATGTAACTTTAAAATAGAGCTTCTAAGTAACTTGGAAGCCCTTTTATTGTCTCAGTTGATGTCACTCTCTTGACACACACCCTCCTCCTGACCCTCATGTACCCACCCTCAGATGCTTTTGTTAATTTAGCATTTACAGGGAAAGAGGTCTCAGCAAAAAGAAAGTCCTGGGTAGCTGTGAAGAAGGTAAATGAGGCTGCAAGGTCAGTGATCTACAAATGCCAAATTAAAACAAAATATTGAAAAGCTAAGATCTGTAGTGCCCGTGGGAAATAAGAAAAGTCATTTCAGGCCAGCTAGAAGGTTTCTTTGTAAAAGAATATACTGGAGAGGAGCAGAAGCCCCAAGAATGATAGAGGATCCTCTTTTTAAAAAGAAGCTGGTGCCACTGAAAAGTTGTTCAAATGATCTGTTCCACCTGCCCCTGTGAATATCCCTGAACACCTCAAATGTGCTAGGTAGAATGAAGGCATTTGAAGCAGCTGTGATACAAATTAGTACTTTATGAATCTTGGAAAAGAGTTATAGAGCTCTGCCTACGTTCTAAGAAGGGAAATGTGTAAATCAGGGGTACTTTCCCATATGCATGAAGAAAGATTATTTTTGGCTGCAAGATGTTTTTCCTATATTAGGCGCTTCTTCGGAGTTCCAGTGTATTTTTCCAGAAAAAAAACCAAAAAAAACCAAAAACCCACAAACAAAAGCCAGTTTGCCTCTGCACATTTTAACACACAACTTGGAAGATATTATTGCTTCTACCACGAATGCTTTATGTTTATTTTATATTCTCCTGGTATTTCATAAAGAGATAAAAAAATACACTTTATAATACTGCTTTGCGTAGATGTTGTTCTCATGGGAAAAGGAAGGGAAGAACCAGGAACTCCAAAAAAGCTCTGGAGATCTCATGGTTCCCTTAGTAAATAGAAAAGTGAGTAACTGAGAAGTAATGAAGTCATTCACTTAGACAAGCTCAAGAAAACAGGGTAAAGATAGTTTCCAGCATTATACTGTCAGGTGTCAATACCCTTTCCCCCTACACACAAATGCAGGGGCTTTATGGGAATATGTTTTATTAGATTTGTGTCTCTTGTGACCACCAGGGATACTAACCTGAAGGCAAAAATGTGACTAAATTATTACAAAGGTATATTCATAGTTAAATTGTGAATAAAAATGGACATGGCATAACAGGAAAGGATTTGAAAGTGGCAATGAAAAGCTCCATGTTTTAGATTTTACCACAATATGTGTGAAACCTTCAAGCAAAACCCTCAAGGCAGGTTTTTTTACAGAGGCCTGGCATTCCTATGGAACCTTTAATGGCAAGGCTGAACTAAAGGATGAGGGTTAGAAAATCCAGTGTCTGTATACAGAACAAAAAAATCATGATTTCTCATAAACTGGCAACAACTGACAGCAAAAGCTGGCAATAAACCATTAGTAGCAATTGCAAAAGGAGTGTTAGCAGACTTGAGTTGCCCATGTTACTCTCTGAGTTGCAGTTTTACCCCCTGCAACACCCAAGTAAATCTGGTAGAGACTCCAGGCTGGAGCTTTGAATAAAACTAATACAGGGGAAACACCAGAGTATGATGCTGTAATTGAGAATCCTGACTTCAGACAACCTATGGTGTGTCAGTATGGATGCCCTTAAACAAGATGTAATTTTAGCTGGTTTATTTGCAGCATGCCTACTCCTTAAAGCAACTCTGATTTCTTTTTATTGTCATTTTTATTCAAAGGTATTGACAGGTTGTACCTAAAATCTCGAACAAAGATGGCTTAACTTGATACTTAAAAAAAAAAGCAGTTTGCCTCAGATGAGTGAAGATGTAGAAATTAAAAACCATTAAATACGGGCCCCATTATATGTAAAAAATAAAAACTGTGATGGCAATTAAAGAAACTTCACATTGCAGCTCAAAATTTGCATGACTCTATATGCAGGGAAAAAAAAGTAACTTATTTTGATTTGGATTATTATCCCTGGTATCTAGAAATTATGTTATTTGAAAATATAGCTGCTAGTAACTTGCCCAATTTCATCCATATTTGCTAACCTTGGCATACCAAGTGTGTAAATGACAGATAGTGGACCAAGTGAATGTATTTTATTTACCAAATATTTTAATTGTGTACACTTCTGTTTGGAGACCGTATCCACTGTTTAATGATGAGCTGAAAATGGTATCGAGCTCTTTTAATGTTTCAGGCAGATGATGATTCATGTTCAGATTCAATTTTTTCTCTTTCTTAAGCATCCTTTTAAAAATTCATATCTCTTTTGGGGACTACTTAATAGAAGAGCTGAACCCAGGAAACCAGGGCTAACAACTGCTGAACTGCTGTTCAGTAGGAGGCCTAAGACTACCCAAATTTATAGACACTGCCATGAAAAAGAAAGAAAAAATAAACATTATCCCCTCAATTAAAAGGCATTTCACGATCCTTTGTAGGTATAAGACCTTGCACACAAATACAAAGGCAAAATATGGAAAATCCTGCAGTTTCTTAGGAACTTTTGGTGCCAACAAATGAGGACTGACCTACAGAAGACAACTTTTACTCCTCTTGGAGTAAGAAGAGGGAAAACACAGTGGATTCTGAGTTTCCATATCCTGAAAGCAGCAGGCTAAGAATGAGCCTCAGTGGGTAAGACTGAAAAGAGCAGTCAGGAGAATATAAACCACCAAATGTTTCAGTAACCTACCAGACAAAGGCAACCAATTCAGAAGCTGATTGCACACTACTGGTGTCGATGCTGCTTTGTCAATGCTGACATTTCTTTCCCTTTGGAAGAGGTAACTTTTGATGAGACTTAGGCTGAAGTACAATAACGTTAAAAGACTGTAGTTCAAACGTGTGACTGTTTCTCTATGTACACCATCAAACTTTCTCAGGCAGGATCTAAGCTTGGATCAAGTGTCCTCTTCTAGCATCACCTAAACCCATGGAATGCTATACTGGAAATGAGACAATATAACAATTTTCAATATAGCTACAAACTTCAGAGTTTATTACAGCAAAGGACTCTCTGGGCCCCGAGGCATTATAGACACCTAGCAAGGGCATGGCACTTCTGAGGATGAGGGAGAGGGATGAAGAACTGGATGCTGGAATCACGGTGTGGGAGGGAAGAGCTGACCACAGCCTTTTCCTCTGAGAGGACTTTTTCTTGATCAGTCAGAAAACTACCCTTCCCTGACCTTCCCTTATAGATTGTACAGATACCTGAATCAACTGGGCATGAAAAAAAATCTGTGTTGCTTTGCTTGCAGGTGGCGTGCCACTGACGTTGAATTTGTGCCATTGAATGTAACCAGACTCCAGGGTTGAAAACGAGGGGAAAGCAATTAGGCAGGTTTTACAGCCAGGTAGGTGAGCAATGACCTTATTGTAAAAATTCTGAATTTTGTGTGTACTTTCATGTATATTCTATTAATTTTGTCAGGGGAAAATATTATACTGCACCTGCAAATTAAACAAATCCTGAGGTACATTACTGGAATATGGTTAGAGGACACAGAACTGTCTAGAATTATAGTCTTAAGTGACTAAAGCAGATTTTCACAAATTAATTATGTAATCTGGTGTATTCCTACAGAATTCTTCACCCTCTAGATTTAAGGCTTCAGTGCTGCAGTCAGATTATTGCAGTGCTATTTACAAAAGCAGGCTTTTCCCCCATTGCTTGCTCCAGTGGGTGGTTCCAGATAAAATGCTTTCTGACTGCGGCTGTGGCTGGGGGAACACTAGTAAGTCATCGAGCAAAGTAATTGGTGACACACTGGATGACTGGTGAGGCAACTTTTCTAAATGTGTCCAAGGAATGTTTCTCCCTTGACACAATGAAAAGCCAAAGTGACAGTCAGTAAACTCTTCAGGACCTCGTTTGATTGACGAGAGTTGTGGCTTTTCAAATACCGCAGCAGCGTGTTCGGTAATTTATGTAAGCAATGTTGGGTATCTTCAGGTGCTTTGTGGGTTCATGCAGCTAGATGAAGCTTCAGCCACATGCCAGTTTCCAATTAGATAAAAAACAGCACAGAGGCTTCTGTGAAAATCAAAAGATTGCCTATCACAGTTCTGGTTTGTGTCCAATCTGCTTCATACAGCATGCTTTTAGCAGCTACTGGCAACTGTGCATTTGGAAATAATTGCTCACCAGCATATTTTTTTCTCCAGGTACATAAAATCTTTCATCTGAGAATCACAATGTTCCTGAACCTCCCTGCTATCTTTCTGAGTGAAGTATATACTGATGATGTTTGTTTCTAGGTTATTGGCATTTAGACAAAGACAGGTTAAATGCAAACATCACTGAGGAAAAGATCAGAGAGAAAACAGAAGCTGGTAGATTCTAGTCCCAGTCTAGTCCCACCTGACTTTAAATTCACTTGTTTTTTCTGGGGGATAGACTGAACACTGTCACAATAATTGTGATCCAGATTATTTCTAGAGTTTTCACTAGTTAAATAAAACATACAGAATGTGTGAATGGACACTCACTTTTGCTCCCAGTGTAACTTAGCCATGTTATCTAACAGAGCTGCGCAGTTTGTCACAGAATTTCTCTATTGACCTGTCATGGACATGCCAGGCTTTGATGACATGATCAGGAATGCATGAGTGCTTGCTCTCTGCATGCCACCCTATACCATGGCTGCATTGAATTTCACATAGCATTACATGGCTGTTTTGAAGACCAAATGGAGAGTCCTGCTTACCTCATCTCTCTCTCATGAGAAGAATCTGAAGCTTGGTGAAACAGCCCAGAGCAGCCTGGAGGAATGCTAAAATGGCTGTTAAGGGAAGTCATGAAGATGAGCTACCTCTGAGTCTCTGCAGACACATATTTCAGTGGTCAGTAACAAAAATGCTCTTGTGCATCCTGAACAATAAGAAAAGCCATGGTTAGTTTCAACAAGTACATATTGGCAGATTTTTAAAGTTCTGTTAGTGAATCGTTAACTGAATATGAAAGTATTTATGGAATTGTGTATGAAAGTATATAAGTTTTGCTTTGGATTTAAAATTTCTGGGAAATTATTTTACAGTCAGTGATCACTTAGCCCTCATGACACAAACACCAATCTGTCAAAGCTCTGCTGAATTCAGTGCTGTAATGAACAACGAGGTAGTTTATGACCTTTCCCACTATATAGGAAGCTGGTACAGTACTCAAAACTGCTGTTGGATGATAGGACTTTTGGGATCCATACCAAACTGAATTATGCATAGATGTATTCACACACATATATATAGTCATATACAGACCAGAGTGTTTGTTGGCTGTTACTGGCTCTAAATGCTTTGTGCAGGCTTGATTTCCCTCTCGGTGACCTGCAGGGCAGTTGGAGCTGTAACAAGGGCTCGTGCCCTTTTTTTGTCATCCTTGAAACCAATGTGGCATGACAAGCCACACAAGGAGACTGATTTTGAGAGCACAAGCAACCCCAGAGGGAAATGCATCTAATACTGAAACAGGAGTGAGTCTAAAATCCACTCCCATTCCTCTTCCAGCTTGAAGCTCTTCACTCAAGACTTCAGGATTCGAGAACCCCCTCTTCAGCATATATCTGCACATATCTGCACATTCTGTAAAATCATCTTTTTAAAAACATTTAAGACATCTACTAGAAAAGGATTGAGTGATTAAATATCAGGAGCAGAGGAAACCTGCAAATGTTAGGTTTGACATAACAAAACCGTTGTGAGAATGAAAGTGCTAGCTCTGCATAAAATAACCATGGAGACTCGGGATGATGCAGGATGAAACAATGAAGGTCTGCACGTTTTATGCAGGTAGCCACGTATTTTTCTGTCCTTTCTACTGGAAAGACATTTCAAGTTCATATTCCCATATTTTCTGCAGCCACTGCAGATAAGCAGATAGCATCCAAGTAAGCAACCTGGAGCTTGATGAAATCTCATGGCAATGACGAGTACAGTTCACAAATGAATGATGACATTTTAGACCCTTCCTTCAATCCAGTGACTATCCTGTAAAAATCTTAGTCCCTGGTCAGCTGAAAAACTTTAAAACATAACAGAACTGGTGTGAATGATTGTTTGGGTTTTGAAAGAAAATATTGTACCAGATGCTATATAAACATGCAAGATGTTGCAGACCCTCTCTCTAATAGTGGTGATACTAAGGATGAAAAATATGTTGCATTTTACATGAAGCTTTTTATTACTTGAGCTATGAATTACAGCAAATGAAATGTTTTATGTTATACACTAAGACTTTGTCCCCAAAATAAACCCCTTTAAATGAAAATGTCTAGACAAATACTTATTAAAGATTAACTCCATAGTTGAATATTTTGACCCGAAGTTTCTTCAAGAAACTCTTGATGTATTTGTATGTATATTTCTATTATTTTCTAGAGGGATAACACTGTTTCTGTATTTCCCCTGCTTTATTTAATCCATCCTTTTCACGAAATTATTACCTAGATTACTAATATTTGTTAAAATCAAATTCTTGAATTAATGACTTTCTTCATTTTTAGCACATGCACTTTATTTGCATTATATGCATCTTTTAAATCCTTCTGTGTTGACCAGTAATTTTCTCAAAACTCATTTATCTTCCCAGAATCTTCTGAAACATCAGTGCTAACACGAAAATCTTATAGTAATTCTCAGATTCTAGTTCACTGAGAAGTCCAGCACCTTGTATGCATTTTGAGTACCAGTCACTCCCTGTTCTGCTTTCTGCTTCATTCAGCTCTCTGGTTGGACTGGACAGGGTAGTCTATGAGAAAATGCACTTTGCAGTGCAGCTCTGTGGGTCTCAGTGCTTAACAGTTAATGTGCTTGTTTCCCTGTTTCTCCATGTTTCAGTTTCTATGTTGAGTCCATAAGATCCAAAAGAGAAAGCTGGAGTTTGGCTCTACACATCATCACCTCCGGCCTTTTGTACTGTGATCTTCACTGGAGGAGAGCAGAATTATTACCTGTAGTGGGAGTTTTGGTTAATTCAATAGATCATAACCATCAGTGGGTCTCTTACACACTTACATGTGTAAGTCTCCTCTCTTAGAAAGCTATACAGGTTATCTCATTTTTAATTTTTTCATCTTAAAGTGTTTAGTTCTTTCCTTAGCCTCCACTGAAATCCATTCATAGGCTGTGTCTCTTCTTCCATATTCAGGCTCTTCATTTTAATTATCTATGCTTTTTATAAAAGGCCTAGATCACTACTTCCATGCACTGCACACTGTCATTTTAATCTATGCAGTTTGGACTAGGATACAAACAAATCAAAATTTGCTTATCTTGCACTGTCCATGAATGGCAATATAGAATGCTGAGTAGTGAAGGACCCAAGCTGATATTTCTGCCCTCATTTTCTGTTATTCCTTGTTTTACGTTGGGATCTCCCTATCTCTTGGGATAGACTAGTGAGGGTAAAAATTAACCAATTCTGCCTAAGCAATCACTTCATTTTCCATGGTTCCTAGTCCCTATTAAAATGGTCATCCCTATAGAATCTTGTCCCTAACTTGATTTTTTTTCTTGGTAACCCATCTATTAGGAATAGGCTTTTCCCCATTCCTCCTATTGTCTCCTCTGCCCTCTTCTTACTGCTCACTACCCAAACAAATATTCTTTCAGTATTCAAGAAAAAGATAAAAGTTACTATATATACACAAATATTTATATAAAAAGTAGAATCTATAAGAAGCAGCCCAAACTTGTGCTATCCTTCTCTTCCTGTAAGCTGTACAATTCTGCATGACCTCAGGATTGTGAGTACAGGTTGTAGTTTTTCATTGATTCTTACGCACGATTATCATCCTGCAGGAGTAACAGTGGGCTTTGTAGTTTTACAGTGATCCTACAAATGCATCTTAGAAACAGGGAATCATGTAAAGGAAGGATTCTAAGTCACCATCCCTAGCAGCCTTGTGAAATTAAAAAGCAGAATAATTTAGGCAATTACTGTATTAGTTTTCCCAAGATTAATGCCCTTTCTCTTCCCTTATGCATGAGGAAACCCCTTCAAAAAGAGTCTCTCTGTATCTCTGTAATACAAATGACCTGAAAACCAAAGGCATTGTCAGAAGCTAATAGGAAATAGGGCATACTAATGTGCAAACAGATGCTGAGGCAATAGTAGCATCCCAGACCCCTAAATCTCATTGTACCTGAGAGATGTATGAACATTTGTGAGAGTATAAATTCACCAAGGTGCACAGAGGAGGTGGCTCGAGCTGACTGGTTCCGTTCCGTGCTACATCTGTGCTGTAACTGTAGGAACAGACTCTATAAATAGCCCAACCCAGTTACCTTTTTCAGAACCTTGGGAATGGCTAATCCCCAGAATAGATGAATTGCATAACTCTGTTCTCTGAACACGCTC